GGGGGCTGGTGAAGGGCCGGCCTCGGCGCGGGGGAGGGCTCGAGGGTGTCTTGGGACCTCCCTGGAGCTCTGTGGGCTGCAGCTTCTATTGCTTTAAGCCTCCCGGCCTGCCTGCGAGGTGACAGTGCCCCGCCAAGGCCCTGAGCTTGGGGTTCGTGCCCAGGCCGCCACACATACCCAGCAGGGTCAGCAGGGAAGTCCTCTAGTCTAGCACCCCTAGTCAGGCCCCTCCGCTGGGCAGCTTGGGGACAAGGGGGGGCGCAAGGCCCCAAATACCCAGCAGGGTCAAGAGGTCGTGCAGTCCTTTAGGGCTGGGTAGCATTGGCGTGGGGCTTGGTGCGTGGAGGGGCCAGGGAGTGTTCCGGGAGCCCGCTTGGTAGTACTGATTGGCACTGGAGAGGCTTCTGGTTCTGTCGTGTTGAAAAAGGAAAGCTACTAGTCTCCGTGCTTAGAAGCAGATGCCCTGTGATCTCGTTTTCCCCAGTGGCCTTAAATGTATTTGTTCGCTCTAGGAGTGACTTTACACGCGGGACAGCCGTTTTAGGAAGCGGACCTACCCGAGAAAACAGTCCATGATGGGGTTATTTATAAGAAAAATGACCCAAAACTTCCACAAGGGAAGTGGTTAAGTAAGCCAGCATCTTCAGAATGAGATATTTTGCAGTCACTTACGATGTTTTCAACATTTAAGGTTAGTTTCAACATCAGTGTAAACATTTTCTATGTATAATAATTCAGCAGGCTCTTCAACAAAGAATTGATGAGTTGGAAAAATGCTTTATGCTGTTAAAAATGCAGGATGTAAAATGCATGTGAGATATGATGTATGTACAACTATGTTTTAAAAAATAAAAACTATTTGTGCATAAGAAACACACCAAAGTACTAATAGTAGCCATTTCTGGGTAGTAGAAATATGGTTGATATTTTTCTCCTGTTGTTCTACCTTTACATTTTCCGGAATAAATATTTATTGCTTTTTACAGTAGTAAAAAAAACAATAAAAAAAATTCATGGAAAAGAGGCACAGTTTAATAGCATCCTCCCTCAGAGTTCATATATCCGAAAGCACATTATGGACCACGTTGCGTGTGTTCATTTCGGGGCTGGCCACAGGAGAGGGTTGAAACACAACCCTTGTCTTGAAAGAGTATTTTCTAGGAGGGGAGCTCAGACACATACCCGGAGAACAGCTGGGTGTCCGTACAAGTCGGTGTGTGATACTGGTTCCAATGTTGAATGGTATGGGTAAGAGCTCTACATTTTCCACATACGTTCTGCATTTAGATATTTTTTCAAATAGCATTTGTATCCAGCGCCAGGCTACTACACCACATACAGCTTCTTCAGCACCAGCTTCCCCTGGCAAAAACTCCTGGGGCAGATTGGGGAGTGGGACAGGGGCCCTTTCACTCAGGTGCTCTGGGGTACTGGCTTCTGTTCGTATCTGCTATGCCTGTATTCTTTAGAGTTCTCTTTACTCTTACGAGGCAATGCCTTGTTACTACTGTCCCCTGTTATAGTTAGTACATCTTTATATCATGGTTTGACTGTCCAAATTATTGTGTGGTTTCTCCTAACTGGACCCAGACTGATACCCCCAGCCTTTCTATATTTTGGGGGGCACGGACCATGCTTTTAAACTATCCTTTACATGCAATTTTGAAGTCCTAAAGGAATGTTTCATCATAAGCTTTCCCCAGGTTATTATGTAGATTGGTTCCGAATAGCAGTATTTGGAAAAAAGTCTGATCCCTTTGCAGGTGGAGTAAATCTATAACTCCAGAAAGGAAATATAAATATTCAGATAAAGAAATGAATCCAGGAGAGAAGCTTCTGTGACCCTTGTTCTGCTTTGTGTTGGATTTCAGATTCTTGAAATGGCCAAGAGAACCTGATTTGCTATGTTTGTAAGTCTAGGTCATTAATTTACAACAGTTGCTTAAGTGCTTAGAAGGATGTTGCTTTTTAGATTTGTAAGTCTGCCCTGTTAGGCATTTAAAGTTTGAGAAAATTAAGTACACTAAATGTGTAATTGTAGTCTGAAATGTCTAAGGAAATATTGTAACTCTACTTACGTGAAATGTCCAGAAAAGGCAAATCCATAGAGAACAGATTAGCAGTTACCAGCAGCTGAGGGACTAGGGGCTGGTTGGGGTAGGGAGCGACTGCTAATGGGTACAGGGTTTCTTTTTTGGGGCAACAAAAATGTTCTGGAATTAGGAAGTGGTAGTGGTTGTACAACCTTATGAACATACTTTAAGTGGGTGAATTATATCTCGATAAAGGAAGCATGTGTATCATTAACTATAATTACTATAAAGAGAAATCACTAGATTTGTTGAAAGGGATGAATCTTTAGCCTCCACTTGATGTTCTTAAGCCTTTTTTAAAATTTTATTAGTGAAGGGAAATAATCAAATTGAAGCTATAGTAAGTAGGAAGGGCAGGAAATATATCCTCAAAGATTATGTCTAAAAATGCGGTTGTAATTGGAAATGTTATACCATTTCTTATTCCCTGGGAATAGATATGCCCTGTTGACAGAATGAATTTGTTGTTTGACTTTAGTACTTTCAACATTAGTCACATTTTCAGAAACCAATTATGAATGGAATTAGGTAGGGGCGTGTGTAAACTCTGTCATGAGAAGGCAAAAAAAAAAAAAAAAATCCCTTAGTCCTCCTCACTTCTTTCTTTAATGCTAGATCACCAAGCAAACGTCTAAGTTATAATTCGGCTGATACTGGGAGAGTGAACATAATTATTTGGGTCACTGGACAATTCTAACGCCCATGAAAAAATGAACAACTTTTCATTTATATATCAGTCTTTTGTGAGTTTGGTTAGGAAAAGTCAGTCCTGGAAAGATGTTTTATTTTGGCCTTGATGTAGCTCATAGTAACATAAATAATGATTGTTAATAAATTTTGCAAAACGAAAATCCCAGGGGTGGCTGGTTGGTTGATCAGAAGCTCAGCGGTGTCTGAGATCCAAGTGGGTTCTGCTAAGAGCTGGGAGTGAGATGGTGGATGACAGAGCGAGAGCCCCGTGCTCCAGAAGTTCAGTGGAGGAGACAGTAAATAAAATAACAAAAGATCCTCATTTTCCACTGATTTTGTATTTGTGACTGTGCCTACTCACTAAAATGTATTTGTAACCTCAAAGCTAACACTGGTGGCGCTTAGAGGTCACACAGACACGTGCATGGGCAGAATGGGAAATATTCGAGTCACCTAACAAGCATGCATGTTCCCAGCTGAGGCCGATTCCTCTCTCATGCTGTAAGCAAGTGTCCTTTCTGTGGTCTGTTTTGTGCCACATTTTTCATATTTTTGTGCTTTCTGTTGGTGGTTATGGTTTAAAATGTCTCTCAAGTACCATGCCGAGGTGCCACCTAGTGTTCGTAGGCACTAGGATGTGTCAGTTTCCTTGAGTCATTAGTTACAGTGCTGTTGGCCCCAAGTTCAACGTTAACAAACTAATGATCTATAGGAAATATGGAGCAATGGGGGGAGCTCAGCTCTCAGCTCCAGCAAAGGCAGACCTGCCATCCCCTTTGCCCCATCCTCAGGCAGGAGCTGGCAGGAGATCAGACGCCACTTCAATTCAAAGTAGCTCATGAAAAAAAGCTGTAAAGTTGCTGAGAAACCTGCTTTTTCTAAGGGTTCACCAAGTGGTCTTTTGTTTCTCTGGGATTGTGTGTTAGTGTGTGAGTACACCAAGGGCCATCACCAGGACAGCCCTGAATCAAGCCAGACTTGAGGGTAAGAACTGCAGGCTGCCCTGGGGCATCATGGTGGAGCCCAGGTACTGCCAAGCCAGGCAGCCCAGGCCTTGAGGGTGAACAGGAGAGGAGGCAGCTGCCTGAGGCCAGAGGTTGGCAGAGCTGTGAGCAGCTGTAGGAAGGATGCTTTGAATATGGAATCCTGGACCCACTTCAGCAAAAGCCCAGAAGCCCTAAGCTAGGAGACACCAGCAGAACTGGGAGGGGGTCCCACTCCTATCCCCTTGCTGAGCTTGAAAAATAAATCCACCACAAAATCCTAGATACAAGGTTTGTAGAACTATGAGTCCAGGCTGCCTATGATCTAATTTGCTCCCCTTCTCCCATTGTCATATGGAGAATCTGAGGCCCAGAGAGAGGAAGGGACATTCTCAAGGGAAGGGCACATAGCATATGATGAACGTTGGTGCACTCTGTCAGGTCTGTGGGCTGAGTGGAGGGAGGAAAGGCCTAAAGCATAACCTGAAACTACATTACTCAAACTGTCTTTGTCTATCAAACACTTATTGGGCTCTTACTAGGAACCTCAAAGCCCCCATCTCAACTAAATACAGAGAAAACAGGAATTCAAAACTTTGAGCAAATTGCCAAGTTCTTTAAATCTGTTTCTGAATAAGTGTGACACCCCCAGAGCACCTACCCTGAGTGCAGCCATGTGCTGTTGATGCCTGGCTTCTCCTCACTGGGGGCTTGGGAGGATGCTCAGTGTCATCTTTCCCTGTCTTCTCACCTGCTCCAGGGAAGACGGACCTTTCCTCCCAGTGGTCAGTGGCTTTGAGGAGGCACCAAGGGCCAGCTACCCCAGGTGCATACTGTGTGCCCAGCTCCTTGAGCAAGTCACTCCTGGCTCTAGCATCAGCCAAGGGCATATCTGAACCATTTAAAAGCCCTCTAATGTTTCCTACTGCTTTTAAAATAAAGACCAGAGGCTCCTTAACACGGCGCGACAGGGGCTGGTTTCTGCCTACCTCCTACTTCTTGTCTCTGCTTCTCCCACTCTGCTCCAGCCTCACTGACCTTCATAGCGGTCACCTCCCTCCACAGCGCCTTTGCACCTGTTGCCCCCCAACACCTGGAATGTTCTTCCCTCTCTTTTCTTCCTAGTAAGAGTTTAAGCTCTTTAAAGAAACATTTAAAATTTTTTAGAAGTTAACTTGTTGGTAAAAGATTTTTCAAAACAACAATGAAAGCTACAAAAGGAAATATCGACGGGATCAGACTTAAACCGACCACACTCCCCCTTTCTGTTCATCAGCCTTTTCCAAGCTGTGGCCCAAGGCGCCCTCTGGTGGGCCCTGAGTGACAGCACAGCAGGCAGCTTCTGCTCATGGTCACCTGCAGCCCCACACCAAGACTCAACCACAGGAACACAGGTGGAGCTGGAAGCATCATCCAAAAACTTCTCATTTTTACTGAGGAAAACCGAGGCGAGAAAGTGGGCAGGATTTACACAAGATCTCACTGAGTCTGTTGCAGAATTGGGCCAGCCAGTGCTCTTTCCACCACATGGCATTACACAAATCTAATGCTCAAAAAACATCAAATGTTTTGGTAAGTAGAGACTTGTGGCTGATGGGTAAGCATCAGAAATGAGCTAAGCTTATTTCAAATTGTCACTGCCCTCCTGAAATCTTCCACTACTAGCTATAGTCTGTAAAGCACTCTGTGGGCCACTCTGGCTAACACTGTGAGTTCACCTCCCTCTGTGTCTCCAACATGGGAACAACTTCCTGCCTCAGGGCCTTTGCCTAGCTGTTCACTTTGCCTAGAACTCTCCCTGCTGTTGCCTCTTGGCTCACATGCCCTCATATTGTTCAGTTCTCGCAGAGAGGCATTCCCTGACCATCCTACCTAATGTGGAGCAAATTGCCAAGTTCTCTAAATCTGTTTCTGGATAAGGCACTCCAGTCTCTAATATCTTGTTTTATATCCTTCACAGCCCTGTTCACATCTGAAATCATCTTGGTTAGTTGTTTTAGGTCTGCCTTCCTCTAGAAGGATGGCTGTTGGGAATGTGTTCAGTGCCCAGCAGAGGGTCTGGGTAATGAGTAGGTGTTCAATGACTACGTGGCACATGATGGAATGGAGAATGGCGCATGACCAGGAATAAACCAGAGACCACGTTAGAGAAAGTCTGGAGGTTTACTCAGTCACAATCACAACTGTACATGTAAATCAGTTCTTCACAAAGGCTCACTTTTCCAGGCAGGAGAAGAGAGGCTGGCGGTCTTGAGATTTCTCTATGAAATCTCCATCTGACTTCTCAAACAGTTCCTGCCTATAATTCCCTTGGGAACCCAGACTTCAAGCCCAAACAGAACAGGAGCCTGATTCTATGGTCTGGCATGGCTGAATCAAAACCATTTGGGGAGTGAATGGTAACAGGACCTTGTCACTTGGAATGTAGGTCCAAGACCCACTCCAGAGGTGGCAGTGGGCCTTGGCTCAAGATCAAGTTTGAACTAAAATATTACTTGGATTTTCACAAAGAGCATCAGTTGAAAGCAGAGAAGAGTTCCAGAATAGAAACACACTCCTTGCCCCTATCCCACACTTAAAAATCTTCAGAAAACATAAAAAATGCATTGTCTCCTAGGAATTATACAAGATCACCAATCTGTACCAACTAAGGGTTGTTGAAGCAAAGAATCTAGATTTCCCAGTGATGCCTGGAAGGTGCTTGCCACTTTTTGAGATTCCAGAGACTAGAAAAACGGAGATGCACAGAAAGAAATATGGAGCCATTTTCAAGGATGTCACCTGTGTCTTAGGGAGAAAAGGAAATTCAACAGGTAGGAGGTTTGAAAAGTGACTATAATGTGGACTTTGGGAATCCATATGCTCCATTTTCAGTAACTGCTTTCTCCCTTGGACCTAATGTCACACTCATCAGATCCCTTCTACATATGCACCCCCTTCTGTCTCTGAGCTATTTCTTCCCAAAGGGGAGAAATGACAATTTCTGGACTGCTTTTAAAGTTGAAACAAGCTCCAATTGGAGGCACATCCAGGCCTGCACATTTGGCCACCTCCAAAGGCCTTGTACTTACAGCAAGGCTGCTCTTTCTATTCCGAAATGTTTCTGGAGTCCCCTTTGGAAAGCCTGCTGGTGGGCCACACGGTCATGATACCTTCTAGCCACTCATTTGTTTTGTGACCTTATGCTCAGAATAAAGGCTTTAGAGGGAAAAGGGTCCACATTCTCACCCCTTACCTGACAGCCTCTCCACGGGCTCCTGGATGTTTTATTTGGGCATCAGCTGGGGGTGTGAGTAGGAATCTGAATCCTTAAGACAGCTAGTTTAAAAAAAGGAGGCCAAAAGAATGAGTGGCTGCAACCAGCCAGCTGGTCAGTTAGGCAATGAACTGGTCTCCTGCCATCCCTCTCACACATGTTGTCAACTTCCAGCCCCTACAGATGTGGGCTCATCAGTGACAAACGCCAGCATGCTCAGAGGACCTTCTCATCCCTTGTTGAGTGAGGGAAACCAGACTCAAAAGGAGACCCAAAGGATGGGAGAAGGGAAGGCTGAGGACTGCTGGGGCTGCTCCTGCTTTCCACATGAGTCCCGGTCGTGCCGAGAACACTGTCATCCACTTGGAGTGGGACCATTTGGAAATCCAGCCAGTGCTCTGCACTCTGTCTGGGGGCTTGGATGGAGGACTGCAGGCATGGCCTCCAAACAGGGCCCTCTCCCAGGGGCTGCTGAGGCCCTTCTAGGCCACAGACTACACGAGCTGTCCAGCTGCTCTTTTAATCTGAGTGGAGTGTTACACTAACTGGGACAACTTCTGGCCTCTGCCCTTGGGGGGAGGGGGGGGGGCATCTGCATCTTAGATCCTGCTCTAGGCCCAACGTCTCCTGCTTGAAATTAGACATTAAGAAATACACATTCATCCAATAAGAACTGCACATACCACCAAATACTCCCTCCCCGCCCCCCAATCCCTGCCCCTTTATGTTTGTCTAGCAAGGCACTAGGAAATGGTTCAAGTTTAGGGATTTGCTGTATATTTGCATTTTTTTCTTTTTAAAAGGCACAGTTTTTATTTTAATGATGCTGCATTGCTCTCTGATGAGGAATCCTAACTTGACTCTCCAAATTACAACACTCTTGTTATCCTAGATTCTGGAAGGGGCCTCATCTCTTGACTCCTTCCCACTGAGGGCCACTTCTAAAGATATAACACTTATTTGGGAAAGATACCAGGACTCAACAAGCAAGCTTTGCCAGCACAGGGGCAGCCTCTCCTGCAGAGAGGTGGCCAGAGCAGGGCTGGTACAGGGGCAGACAGAAGTGACGCTTTGCCAACTGCACGCTTAATTGGGGTGGTCATGACTGGGAATGTTTATTCCCCTCTCCCCCAGATCACTGATGGCCTTGAGATCAGCCAGCATCTCAAAGGCAGATTTGTGGCTCTGTTCCCAGATTTATGTCTCAGTTATTTAATTGGCAAATGATACAATCGAGAGACCTGACTCTAATTGGAATACCGATTGCAAGTATTTCCTGGGCCAGCTGATGGAAGCCATAGATTGTAGAATGCAATTTCTATTTCTGAATCAGTGGGTGGCAGGCTGGTTACAGAAATGCTTCCTATTAGTTTGGGAGCCCTCTGGGAGCCTGACGTGTAATTAACAAAGCAAAAGGTAAACAAGAAGGACTGGCGTGGAGCTGGGTGTGCGTCTGTTCTTAGGACATTGGGTTTTCTCCACTGCAGCTGCGATGGCGGGAGGCTGCAGGGCTTCAGGTCTGCACTGAGGACCATGTCACAACAAGGCCTCTGGTAGGAGCTGATGGACAAAGCCCCCCATTTCCCCCAAGGCCATCACCTGGGATTTCACAGACTGTCTCTAGGCTGAGGGCTGCCTTGACTGTATTACACCTGGCTGGCTCCTTTAATCACAACATTCTAGAAACCCACATCAGATGCCAGAATCCCAGAATCCTGTGTAGCACTCTAGTCTGTGGTCAAATTCTAGAGTTCTTTAAAATTCTAGAGTTCGATATGAGAACTAGAACCATGATGAGGTCAGAGACTAGGCATCCTAGCCGTGGTCTACCCTGGAGGCCTCTGGATGTGTGAGGTGAGCACTTCACCTCTTGCTAGGGAGAGAGGGAGGGAGGGCAGAGGAGAGAGGAGAGAGAGAGGAGAGGAAAGGAGAGGAGAGGAGAAATGGAAGCACTGACCAGGGACATACAGCCAGAATTTCTGGTTTGGAGATCTTACTAGGCCTCTTCCATGGGCCCAAGGCCATCTGAAACATGGTCTGAAAAGCTGGTGGCTGGGTTGTCTTTGTGCCTGGAGGGAGCTACAATGGGCATTTCAAGCACCCAGAAAGCAAATGGAAACACCCATATGTCCAGGCTGCAAAGGAGTGTCTAAGGGTCCAGCATCTGACCCCAGGCCTGGCAGCTGGCTGGTGTTCAGGACTGAACATTCTGAGGGCCCAGGTATGGCCTTCAGTGGCATTGCCTGGGGCCATTACAGAGAATGGAAGCTGGGCAGTGACTGCACTTACCCCCATGACAGGCAAACACTAAAAGGCTGAAACCAGTGGCCCCTTCTCTCCTGCTGCAGATAGGTGGCAATGTGATAACAGCTGCACTGAACAGGCAAAATTTGCCTCTTTCTAAAGGACTGTCATATCTTAGCCTCATTTTTGGGTGGCCTAGGGCTGCCCTGGCATTTCTCCCACACAATGCTCAAGGGAACATGGTGACGAAGTTGAGAGGGCCTGCCTGGACCTCCAAGATGCCATCAGGAGTTAAAGCAGGCTCTGCATTCTCAGGGGCCGCTTGTGGGGCCTGCTCCCCACACTAACTCCACAGCTCAGGGTCTCAGGGACCAGGCAGATGCCTGGCTCCAGCTTTAAGAGCTCGCTCCACCCTGAACCAGCTGGCCAGAACCTTTGCATCACGATGCCCACGGAAGCCCTGCCTCCCCCCGGAGAGGAAGGCCACAGTGAGCGGCAGGGAGGACCCTGCCAGGCCTGCACGGAGACATGTGGGCTCAGTTGCTATTGAATTTTTCCAGGACTGTTGAGTTGGTGTGTTCGAACAGCCACTGCTGGGTGGGAGAGGAGGGGTTGCAGGTGTTCATGAAGATCCTGTGGTCGCTTTCACTGCAGTCCATGCAACCGCTGCTGACGGGGTGGTATAGGGTCTTGTCCTGCAAAACACGGAGGTTATCAGCCCCGCTGTGCTGGGGAGATGAACAAAGAGCAGCAGCAGGAACAGCAAGGAGACAGTGACTGGCCAGTTGCTTAAGGATCTGTGTGGCTCTCCTCCTGAGTGCACAGCGAGACTATGCCCACCTCCCTTGCAGATGGCATTGCCATGTGCCTGAGTTGTGCCCACTGGGATGTGGGCATAAGTGAAGCATGCCACTTCTGGGCCTGGGTCCTAGTCACTACCCATCTTGTCAAATTTCCTTGGTCGTGTGTGTGCGTGTGTGTACATGCGTGTGTGTTTAATGGACTCAGGTGACAACATTTCAGATTCTAGAGATTTCACATAAAACTCTGGATTTCTGGCTTCTCTCTAATGTCTGAAAGTTGTGGTAGGTTTGTGGAGCATGTGCATGAGTAAGTGGGCTGTTGGGAGGGATGTGGCTCTACATTGCTCCCCTCCCTCCCTCCTCCTCCTTCTTCCTCTCTCTCTCTCTTTTTCTTTTTAAATCAAGCAGGTCACCCTGTCCCCCCCGCCCTACCTCCCCACACAGCCTTACTTTTCGGTATTTCCACAGCTGGTTGCCCTTCATGCTGTGGCAGTCATAGAGGGTGACTGGACTGGTGTGGGAGACGGCATCAAAGCAGAACTTCTTGGTGTGCTGGGGGTCCCCAGGCCGGATGTCCTCTCTCCAGGTGAAGGTGAACACCTGTACGCACAGGGACATCATGACAAAATGGCAAAGCGAGGGGACCTTTTCTTTTATTGTAATTATAGAAAATTTCAAATACAGAGGTCCAGAAAGAGTATATTGGCCATATCTGTTCCCATCACCCAGCTTCAACAACTACCCACTCGTGGTAAAACTCGGTATAACTTTACCCCACCCTCACCTTGTTTCGAAGCAAATCCGACATATTGTGGCCTCGGAGGATTCAGAAGAATTAGTCAAGAAGATTCACTATCTAATGAGAGTCATTCCCAAGAAAGGACGGGGGGGCGGCAAGCACTTCCGAGGGAGGGCAGAGATGGGCAGGCTGGGCGCTGTGCCCGTGTGAGGCGGTGCTGCCCATTCTCAGCGAGCATGCTGTGCGCCTCTGACTTCTCTTTTAGCACAGGACCCACCTTATAGGCTTACATCAGTGTACATTTCCAAAATGCCAGCAAGCCCACAGTAAGGAGGCCATAAAAGTGTATCCTTGAGCCAAGATTCAGAGGATGCTGTGTGACGGAACACTGGGGTAACTGCTTGGAGAACGGGACCATGGAAAGCTAAATGCAATGTCCTGAGAGTGGTGGCTTTTCCGGTAAGGCTGGCTTGCACTCCTTGCTCTCCTGAGAACACCTCTTGGGAATGATCCCTTGGGGAAGCAATCTTGTCTCTCTTCTCCTTCAGGTGAAGCTGACCACACCCCAGGCTGCAGAAATGAGCATGTGACTGTATCATGTCCCTGCTGTGATTGGCTCAGGAAGGCCAACATGTGAGAGCCCCAGGGCTTTGCCAGGACTCCTGGAAGGGGCACGCCTTCCCGCTGGGGGCTGGACCTCTGCTGCTGATGTCACATCTGCCACCCCATGGGAAGAGGCAGGCTATGAATGAAGCTGACAGAGAGGGGAGCCAAGTTGAAACAGTGGAGAGATCCCAACGAAATCACCTAGACTTTTCAGTGACATGAGCCAATAATTCCCTCTTTTTGTGAGGGCCATTTGTAACCAAAGGTCCACATTGGTGGTTTTACGGCAGTGTGAAGGATTCCTCTTTCCAAGGTGTTCAGGAAGCTTTTATAACTTGCCCTTGGGCTGACTTTTGTCACTCATCATTGATTGTGGCCTGTCCCTCCCAGTCCCAATCAGGTGAGCACAGAGAGCTTGGCTGCCAGTCCCAGGGAGAGGCACTTACCTGCATGTTGTTCCAGGCGGCCTCCCCGCGGCCCCGGACGCAGCTTTCCAGCCTCAGCAGAGAGCCCAGGGCCCCATGCTTCGTGTCTACACACAGCCCTGTGCCCACACTGCGGATCTGGACAAGAAAGAGGAAAGGAGTGGACCAGTGAGGCACCTCAGGACACCCTCTGGGGCCCCTGAGGGGGTGGAGGAGGGAACCGAAGCAGAGGTATCAGGTGAGTTCAGCTCTGACTTATCCTAATAAAGCCTTCCCCGGGGCTGTGGCAGAGCCTTGAGCCCTGAGTGAGGGAATGCCCAGTCCACAGAGAGGAGCCCCTCTAACCCCTGCCTTAGAGCATGCAGTCTCAGGGTGGGGGGGCTAGAGGCGAGGGGTGGTAAAGAAGGACTTCCCAGCCCCCTCTCAGAATCTGTTCCCTCTCCCCAAGCCCCATTATATCCATGTACAAGTGAGTGCATCCTCTGAGCTTGGAGACCCAGGAGCCAGGAGCCGGTGACTGAGTGCTCCCCCTTGGGAGGACTGTCTGCCTCTCCAGCAGGACTGGCTTCATGGGTGCGTGACATGAGCCATCGCCCAAGGCCCCTCGCTCAGAAGGGCCTGTGCTAGATCAAAGCTCTGCTGTCTCTGTCTTAAAATTTTTAATAACTTATCTTTGAACTTGTAAGTGAAATCTGATGGGACAGTGGAGCAGGCATGTGAGCAGAGGTGACATGTTATACGAGCATCCATGTTCCTTTTTGCCATGCCTGCCTACAGCGCCTGCAGAGCCCAGAATTCTGGGGGTCCCACATCGGGGGGAGTCCAGTAAGACTCAAAGGGAGCATGTGCCTTCCATCCATGACTAAGTGGGGGTGCTGGCAGGTCCCAGAACCCATCCAACCAGAACCTGCTTTGGCTGAATGGCATTCTAAGACTTAGGAGCTCTGTCTCGTCCTTTCGTGCCTGTGCTACTTCTCTGGATCAGCCAACCACTTAAGCAGTAGATAACAGCCCAGAAGGGAAGGGGAGTATAGGGTCACCCACAGTTCCTTTTCCTTCAGCTCTTCCTCACTCATCAGTAGCCTGAGGGAGATAGTGTTTATTCATAAGTGAAACAAAACCAGCTTAGTTCATTTTGTGCAGTGTTTCCACTGTTTTGGTAAGAAATACACATGTGTGCACAAGGGTTGAAATACAAATGGTGAAATTTCACTGATTCTGCACATGTGCTAAATGCCCTACTATGTGCCGTTAAAACTGGCAGTGCATATATAAAGGTGAATGGTAAAATTTATGCTAATCAGTTTTAATTTTTTCCTACTTAGACCATTAAACAGGAAAAACAAACAACAAAAAAATACAACCATGCTACAGAAAGACTGGGAAAGACGAGAACAAGTTTTACGTTTTACACCTTTACCGGCACTTTCCCCGTGCTGTGAATAGGGGTCTGCGCGTGCATTTTGCACAAGTTTTACGTTTTACACCTTCGCCGGCACTTTCCCTGTGCTGTGAATAGGGGTCTGCGCGTGCATTTTGCACAAGTTTTACGTTTTACACCTTCGCCGGCACTTTCCCTGTGCTGTGAATAGGGGTCTGCGCGTGCATTTTGCACAAGTTTTACGTTTTACACCTTCGCCGGCACTTTCCCTGTGCTGTGAATAGGGGTCTGCGCGTGCATTTTGCACAAGTTTTACGTTTTACACCTTCGCCGGCACTTTCCCTGTGCTGTGAATAGGGGTCTGCGCGTGCATTTTGCACAAGTTTTACGTTTTACACCTTCGCCGGCACTTTCCCTGTGCTGTGAATAGGGGTCTGCGCGTGCATTTTGCACAAGTTTTACGTTTTACACCTTCGCCGGCACTTTCCCTGTGCTGTGAATAGGGGTCTGCGCGTGCATTTTGCACAAGTTTTACGTTTTACACCTTCGCCGGCACTTTCCCTGTGCTGTGAATAGGGGTCTGCGCGTGCATTTTGCACAAGTTTTACGTTTTACACCTTCGCCGGCACTTTCCCTGTGCTGTGAATAGGGGTCTGCGCGTGCATTTTGCACAAGTTTTACGTTTTACACCTTCGCCGGCACTTTCCCCGTGCTGTGAATAGGTCCGCGCGTGCTTTTGCACGGGGCTCCGATAACGCGGCCGGCCCCGCGCCGAGACTCACCTCGCCCCACGCTGCTGCCGGCGGCTCCACGGGCGGGTAGAACTTGGGCAGGTCCCAGGCGATCTGCGTCATGAACCACCTGAAGCTCTTGCAGCTGAGGGAGCTGCGGAGCTGCTTCTGGGCGGCCACGTCGCCGGCGGAGAGGTGGCGGTACTCGGGCCGGCGCTGGTAGATGTGCTCCGCGTACTCGTCCATCCACACCTCCGCCACTCGCTTCAGGTTCTGGGGCGCAGGCGGGCAAGGTCAGGCACTGCGAGGTTCTCCCCCACCCCGCGGCGTCCACGGCCGCAGCCCACCGCGCCGCTGAGCCCACTGTCTGCGTGTTTTAAGGACTCTACAACTTGCAACTAACAGGCTGCTGTGGTGGTGTTTTTAAAATGTTTTTATTGACTTGAGAGAGAGGAAGGGGGCGGACAGAACCGTCAACGATGGAAGAGAGTCGGCCACCGGCTGCCTCCTGCACGCCCCCTGCCGGGGATGGGGCCGCAGCCGGGCACGTGCCCGACCGAGAAGGGAACCGTGACCTCCAGGTTCAAGGGCCGACCGCTCCACCGCTGCGCCACCACCGGCAGGGCCAGGCTGCAGCTGTTGGGCTGCGCGGCGCCATCCCCCCTTTCTAGGGACAGCCTCCCGCTGGTTTCCTTCGGGGACCCACCTCTGCCTCACTCGCTCTCGTGGCCCAGGGCTCGGCAGGCGGCTGGGAACCCAGACGGCCCTGCTCACCGGGATTGGGCAGCAGCGGGCACGTGACCTCAGCCAAGCCAATCAGAACCATGTGTCAGCCCGGAAACCTCTGCCGGAACTACGGGGAAGGTGGAACCGCCGCTCCCGCTGGGGGGGCTCCGACGGCCGGGCGCCGCGGGGCGGCTGGGCTGCGCGGGAAGCACGCCCGCGGTGAAGTCGGCCCAGAACCAGACCCCGCTGAGGGCCGGGCGAGGAGCGCACNCCAGCCGCGCCTGAAGCCCGACCCGCCTCAGGACTTAAGGATGACGTGAGTCAGTCAGTTCCCTTTCTGCTTAAACCGATTTGAGTTGCGTTTCTGTCAGTTTCAACTAAAAGCGCTGCCCAAGCTGCGTGGCAAAAACAAATGATAATTTGCAACCAAACGGTAGAATTCCATCAGCGGCTGGAATTTTAAATAATTTTTTGAGGTGGGCCAGTAGCTACTACTTTTATTATGAAGCACCGGATAATCAATTTTAAAAAATGACAGCCACATTATTGGCAAGTAGAGGCAGCAGGGGAAGACGCCCTGTTTGTGAGCGACCTGGGCGGAGGAAAGGTGGGCGCTGCGACCCGAAGGGCGCGGTCCTCCTGCGTCCGCGCGGCGGCGCCCCCTGCCGGGCGCAGTGCCGGGGATGGGGCGCTCCTGCTCCCACATCGCTCTCTGACCCCCGGTTGTTGCCAGAACCTCCCCCCCTCATACACATTTAAGACTCCAGGCTTTATCTCCATCATAAAAAGTATTTTTTTCCTACTGCAATTCAAATGTTCTTCTGAAGGGTGAAAGGGAGTCAGCACTGAGGCTGTTATCAGTCATTCGCACCCTCAGTGTAAATGACTGCTCTAGAAGCAGACCTAAGGCAGGGCGGCGGCAAATGTTTTCTGTAAAGGGCCAGATAATAAATATTTTAGGCTTTGCAAACCATATGATCTCAACTCTGATGATGTAGCTATAAAGCAGCCCTAGGCACTATGTAAACGAATGCGTGTGGCTGCGTGCCAATAAAACTTTATGGACATTGAAATTTCATTTTCATGTGTCACAAAATAATCTTCTTTTGACCGCCCCCCCCCCAACTATCTAAAAATGTAAAAACCATTCTTAGCTCACCGCCACACGAAAACAGTGAGTGAGGGGGAAGGAAGCCAACAGGAGGGAGGCCCTGGTACCAAAGACAAAATTCACCAACTCCTCAATTGTGCTGGTTCTGAGTTTGGGACTAGGAAACTAAGGCATTTCCTTGCCACCGCCTCCATCCTGAGTGTTGAAGAGGTCAACAGTGGGTTAGAAAACAGCTCAGGAACGGTCTTATCCCCAGCAGGCCCCTACACGGCAAAGGCTGGGTTTAATTTAAAACTGTGCCCAGAGGAAGCTGAAGGCCTAAGGAGCCTGAAGTCTTCCTTCTCCAGGCTGCCCACTGCCCAGGTCCTTTGTCTCACTGTCTAATTTACTCAAGCCACAGGCAAGGGTGGCCAAAGGTGCTGAAATTCACCTGTGCTATTCTCTTTTAAAAAAAAATTTTTTTTTTTATATCTTTATTGATTTCAGAGAGAGGAAGAGAGAGAGAGACAGGAACATCAATGATGAGAGAGTCATTGATCGAGCCCACAACCCAGGCATGTGCCCTGACCGGGAATCGAACCCTGATCGCCTGGATCCTAGGTCGATGCTCAACCTCTGAGCCATGCCCGGTCGGGCACCTGTGTTATTTTTAAAGGATCAGATCGCATATATTTTAATTTTCGTTGATATTTAAATTACTTTTTTTTTTTTTGCTAGAGGGAGGGTGAGGATGGGGGTGGTAGATGGAAATAGGCAAAGCAGGGGGAGGGGAATGGGAGACTATGTTTGGGGCAGTGGGTGCAGGATGCAGTGTGCAGACAATGTTTTGTTGAGTTGTATACTTGAAACCTGTATGGTTTTGCGAGCCAATGTCACCCCCTCCAATAAATCCAGTAAAAAATGGAAAAAAAATTACGATTTTAACGAATATTGCATTTTCCAGACACGACTTAATAAGCCATTTCTCCCAGATCTTGAACTTTTGTACAGCTGACTGTTTGGACCAAAGTAAAGGACTTTACATTCATTTCTGTTACAGCTCCTCTTGCTAAAATCATGGAAAGGACCCAGCGATTTTAGTGGGCTCTGCAGTTCTCTTATCCCTCCTCCTAACACCTTCCTAGTTCTGGGTCCCAGTCCTGCTCTTCTGGTGCTTAGATTACAGAGATTTGCCCAATTCTTGGAGTAAGTCTCCAGTTTTGTTTTGCCAAGTTTGAGTGCGTTTCTGTTACTGCCTTCCCTAAGACCCCTTTCCTAGAGAAAGAGAGAAGGATTTTGGCAAAGTTAGAGAACCAATGAAGACTGGCGGCTTGTTCTGCAGGCAGCAAGCTGGAGGTTGGCCCCTCCTCCCTGCATTGCTACTTCACTGCTGTCTGGCTGCTTGTCCTTCTGGAGTTGGCACAACTTCAGTAAGACTTCGGCTGCCCTCTTTATCAGGTCCTCTCAGGGCTTTGGGAATACCTCTCCTCAAATCTATCAAAGTGATGTTCTCAGAGATAATGCTCCAGAAGGAAATGGTTGTTAAAACATGGAGCAAACATTTAAAATCTGATCTGCAACTAAATGAGGGTAGTTAGACACTAGGTTGGACGTCAGGGGAACTTACAGAGGCAGCTCTGTGGTCCTGCAAACTTACATGGGGTACCACCCGGGCTGTTAACTGGTTTAAAGGCACAGGAAACTGATTCAGTACAGACAAAAATAAATTAAAGTATATAAACACAGAATTCAGATAAGACACTGACATAAACTTCCTGTCTTGCTAATGTTGATGCAAACATGAATACTGGTACTAACAGCAGTCACTATTTAAGGGACAAATGCTCTGTCTCAGGCACAGGTCAGACCTAAGTGGGTTTGAATTTTGGCTCTCGGTACTTAATGTCTCTGTTTCACTTTCCTCATGTTTAAAATGGGGATTAAAAACAAGTGAAACTTAAGTGGGATAAGCATGTAAGATGCTCTGCGAGATGCCTACTCACAGAAGTTTTGTGTTACTACAGTTAGCTGTTACCCACTGAACCGGTCTATGGTTCCACAAACAGGAGGCGGCAGTGCCTCCTGACCGGGAGGATCTCATAAGTGACAGCTCCGGATAGGGAGAGGATGCTTTGGGAAGGGTTCTGTTCAGGGGTCAGCGGTGTCCTCATGGTCCCACCATCCCTCACAGCTGGAAGAGTCGGTCTTGGCATACTGAGCGACTCTGCGCTGTTTTCCTGCCTTGACACCTCTCTGAGATTGCAAACAGTATTTCAGATGAATCATGATTCCTGCCTCTCCAGATGAATCTAGGACCCGCCCCCGCCAGCCCGTCCCCAGTCCCATGGAGCTGTCCAAAGCGCAGAGGGCTGGTGTGGCTGTTGTTGCAACCTTCTACCACTAGAGGGCACTGCCGGCTCTCTTTTCCCTCAAAGCCGCCCCGTAGCCGAGGCGCAGCATGCTGCCTCCGGAGACGGCTCCCCATCCTAGCATTGGGGGGGGGGCTGTAATTAATCTGTCTTCTTGTAAATTGCGGGGCAGGGCTCCACAATCCTGCAGGTCTTGACTGCTTGACTGTCAGGTGCTAAGGGAGGGGGAGGCAGGGCCTGGGCTGAGGAGGCCCATGCCAAAGAGGCTGAAGGGAGCGCTGTAGGGGAGGTGCAGGAGTGGGGTGGCGTGTCCTCACCCTTGAAGCTGTGCTGACCTTTCAAGCTTCCCCCAAATCTCCCTGCGACTCTCTTTACCCTCTGGGGACACTCCCTTCTCTTTCGTTTTCTTTTGTGGTTGTCTTGATTTTTTTCAAGACACTTACTGTTTTAAAATTTATTATTAAAGTTTCATGAAATATGTCATACCTACCCCCCCAAAAAACACCACAAAACCAAACACCCCACCAAACCTCTGGCTAACAGATTTCCATTTGTAGCCAGTGGCCAGTTTTGTTCAAGCAAAGATTAATACAACCCATCTGAAGGCATGAAATAGTTTGACACAGAATTTTTTGGCACTAAAATGGGGGAGACATTGATATTTACTAACTGCCCCTGTGCCAGACACTTTTAAGTGCCGTTGTCTCAGGCTTTCCCAAACATACCACTCAACCTGCATTAATATTTATCTAACATGTTTCTTCAGCTCTGCACCTGCTTTGTCTTTATCCTAAGTCACAATGTCTGTGAAATCACGAGTTTGCTACACTAATATATGTTAATTTCTAAATTTAAACACATGTAAATAAAAGTGTTTCTATGTCTGCCACCTCAAATCATCTTGTCTGCCACACTTTGGGAGACTGTGCCATCTCCTTAATTCTCCTGGCAATGCTAAGAATTGGAAAAAATTAGCTTCCTTTAAACAAAGGCAGAAACACAGGCTCAGAGGAGTTGCGTGACCCTCCCAAGGTCACACAGGTGATAAGTGGGTAAACAGGGCTTTAAGTTAAGTTCTTTTCCACTGGATTTCACCTGGAGAATGGTGGGGGGCACACCTAGGGATCATTTGGCCTGGGGTTCCAGGTGCCTCTGAGTGTCTCTCCTCTGCTAATGGGCCTAGGCCAACCCTCCCCCCACGCCTCCAGGGAAGCCACCAGCTTACCCGGGCCAGGCTGACTCCGGCAGGGACTTTGTAGGGTACATACTTCCTGTAGATGTGGCCCACCCTGGAGCAGGGGATATCCTCCATGCGGCCCCCACACATCCACACCTGCAGGGTGAGAAAGGAGAGATGATATTTCTGCCTCCAGTTCATCGCCCCCCTCCTTAGTGCATTCATCGAAAGCATCAGCTTGGTTTGTCTACTAAAGCCCCATTTACAGAACTAGGGACGGAGGAAAACACAGTGGCAACAGCAGTACAAATAGCCGACAGCACTGCATGCTCCTCACCGCCAGACACTATGCTGCGGGCTTCATCTCAGTCTCGTCAGAACACCTGCGCCATAGGTGGCGACAGAGCTCCACTTTACAGATGAAGACACCGAGGCTTAGAGAAGCTCAGAGGCTTGTCTAAGATCACAGGGTAATGGTGGAGCCAGGATTCACACCCAGCTTTAGTTGACTCCAGAGTCTGAGCTCTGAGCTCTAAACAACTGTGGATGCTGTGTGCTGTTGAGAATTCTAAGGTGGCATCGGGTGCTCAGTGGGAAGACTAGGTGAGGTGATCGCTTAGTGAGGTCTGCCACACGTATGAGATGGGATAGGGTAGCACACAGGCTCTGTATTTACTGACTGTGGCACTAGATTCCTCCTGGATCTGTACACCTCTTGCTGGGTCATCCTGAGCAGGGGCAGCAGGCTCCCTGCCCTCACTTCTCTGCAGTCTGGTTTGCTAAGTCATGCAGCTGGGGATGGTGGCAGCAAGGGACCTGATGTTTTTCCTTGTGTCTCCCTCCATATTTGGCATCACAGAGAGCTCCTGAGTTTGAGTGCACGCTGGTCTGACAGCAATTTGAGAATTCTTAATAAGTACAATCAACGCTGACTCAAACGCACTGAGGGGCCCAGCCTAAACAGACCCTCCTCGGCAATCCTGGGTTCAAATCCTGCCTCAGTCACTTATCAGCTTTGTGACTTTGATGGAGGTAGTAACTCCTCTGAGGCTGTTTCCTCATCTGCAGAGGATTAAATGGGGCAGGCCTGGGGGGTGAGATAGTGCATGTAAAGTGCTTAGCGTGAGACTTGGCACAGACACAGCAGTGTTACATGCCACATGATTCATTCATACATTTGACTAATATTTACAGAATATCTGCTATATGCCAAACACTGTGCTGGGCACATATAGCAGTGAATGTCAGTCAGGGCTGCTGCTCTCACTGGGGGAGTGTGGTGTGGTCTTGAAGATGGCCCTCCTAATGACCCCCGCCTCCTGGTATTTGCAGTTCCCTCTCAAGTGGGTCACATGAGGACTGAGTTGTGTAACCAATAGGACACTGCAGAAATAATAAGACTTCCACCTTACTCCCTGGGATCACTTGCTTTGGGACACTCAAGCAGCCCTGTAGAGAGGTCCAGGTGGTGAGGAGCTGAGGCCTCCTGCTACTAGTGCTAACTTGCCAGCGACATGAACGAGCCATCTTAGAAGCAGATTCTCCAGCCCCAGTCAAGCCTTCAGATGACTGCATCCCTGGTTGACACACCGACTACAACTTCAAGACACTCAGGCAGAACTATCCTGCTAAGCCACTCCCAAATCCCTGACCCACACAAATTTTCATTAATAACTATTTTAAGGTGCTATATTTTGGGGGTAATTTTTTCCTGTGGCAGTAGGTAACTAACACAGGGAGATAGTTTCAAATGGCAATACGTGCTGTAAGGAAGCCAAAGTTAGGTCACTGTATAGACTCATTGGATGGATGTGTGGGCTGCTATCACCCACACCTGTCAGGGAAAGCCTAATCTAGCAGGGGATATTTGAGGCAAGACTTAACTGATAAGGTAAAATTAACACAAAGATCTGAGGGGTGAGAGAACAGGTGGTGAGAAGAGCAAGTGCAAAGGCCCTGGGGTAGGGCCACGCTTGGCATCATCACTGAACAAAGCAAGCCAGAGGCCTGGAATAGAGGGAGAAATGATGGGAGGGGAGGCCAGAGAGATGAGTGGGGACAAGCATAAGGGTCTTAAAGAACAGAATAGGGAGTCTGCACTGAAAGTCTTCAGTGAGGGAGACAAAACAATCCAATTTCTATTTCACAAAGATGACTGCCTGTGGAGTGCTGAATGGCCAGTAGGGTGCAGGCTTTGGGGAGGGAAGGCCTGGGAGGCTCTTGCAGATGAGGCAGTCATGGCTTTGGTTTGTGGTTCATGGTTTCGGTCATGGTTCAGGGGCTGTCGTGATGGGGGGACACAGCTGGACTTGGTACATTATTATTAATCTTGTTACCATATGTCCTCATTTGTGGAATAAGGGGGAGTGGTACACCTACAATGCCAATTCTGTGTAAAAGAGCCCTTTTCAGCTTGACCTGCTCAGTGGGATACTAGGGATTTAATGTCTTGACAACTCATGAGCTCTAGAAGGGCCACTCTTCCTTCTACCTCATGCACCTGAGGGTTCTCAGTCCCCCTGGACGCCCTGCCAGCCACTCTCCCCATTTCACCCCAGATGTGCTCTGTCCCTGGCTTTTCGCAAGGGGATATGTGTGTATGGGGCTGCAATTAGTGGAAGTGCTGCCTGGAGAAATGCAATTATATTCTGATCTTGGGGGAGAAAAAAAAAATGGAGCAAGTCAATAGAACAGAACATTGGTCTTGAGATAATGGGCTCCTGATGGTAGATTAATGTCAAGGCCAAGCCAAGAAGTTTATTTTCAAAGCAGGAGATATTGATCAGGCGCCAGGATCCCATAACAATAACTCTTCTTTTATACAAAGTGATTGATGTCGAAGTGATGCTTTTGTCTGGAGAATATTGCCCAGGATGCTGCTGGGCTGCCCCTGCCTTTTGGGAGGAGCAGCACGCGGAGCAGGTGGGGGACACCTTACTCCACTCTATTTTTGAACGTCCCCTGGGCCGTTGGCTAGGCTGGCGTCCAGCTCTCTCAACTCCATATTAAACTCGCATTAGCTAACGAGGCTGTGTCTACGCTCTGCCTGGCAAGGAACCTTGCTTAATGCACAGAGATGATCGATTTCCAAATCCTTTTCTTTGCTGTGTCCTCAGGTTTCTTTGGCCCTGACCACGCTGGCCATCAGCCTGAAGGTTCCTGAGGGACTAGGGTGACCTTGATCTGCTGAGGGATGTCCGGAGCCCAGAGGAGTCCTGGCTTTGGACGATGGGTTTACTCCACGGCTTCCCTGCCCTGGACACGATCCACTGTTGGCTGAGTCAGGATGGGAACTGCCTTTAGAGAGACAGACGCACCTGTTCAGCTAAAGCTGCTGCCAGCTCCTGAGTCCTCTGGGAGCACCTGAGCAGCCTGGGAAGGGCTGTGCAAGGCACAGCCAACCTTCCAGAACTCCCTCTGCCACCCAGAACGCATCTTACACACATCTACACCCCATGGTGCTCACTGATTATATGGCAGGATCTCAAGTCTGGTGGGGGCTCTCCTTCCAAGGACGTGATAAAAGCTGGAGGCAAAGAATAGTGTCAGGGCTCACCCTGGGCTGGGGAGCTGGTCAGAGCTGGTCCTGGGTCCCAGGTCACCTACCTGTGTACATTTAGGGTCCTCCCCCATTTCTGTCACAGCTGAGACCCACAAAACCACGGCACGGGATGGTAAGCACACATCACTCTCTAGTCCCAAAGCCAGTTTGTGCAGCTGTGTCACCTCACATAAAGCATTCACCTAGCGAGCCACCCTTTCCTCATCTGGCGTTTACCCTTTGGCCCCACACCATCATGTCTTTTGTCCTATGGCACAATTTCCAAATGGAGAAACTGAGGCTCAGAGAGAGGAAGTGGTTTTTCTAACTGAGTGCATGGCAGAACCTGCAACTGACCAGAATGACAGGGCCAGGTGGGAAGAGGGCACAGTCACAGGCGCCACTGGGGGCCAGGCACCCAAGACTGTTTTCCTCTGCCCCAGGTAACACACCAGCACGAGTCCAGCTGGTGGCAGGGAGCAGGGGTTGCAGTGCCGGCCACAGCCAGAATCGTGTTTGGCTGGGATCCCATCGTATTTGGATAGAGACAAATACAGGGCGCTGAGATATTTCTGCAGCCCCTCTCTGCTGTCAGCTTTCCTGTCCCAGCTCCCACCCCGCCCCTGCCTGCGCTGGGAGCCTGTTTCACCATAAGGAGTGTCCACGTGGCCTGTCAGCTCCGTGCTCGGTGCTTCCCGCCGAGGAGCTGCCTCCTCAATGGAAGCACCACGCCACGAGACAAGTACAGAGCTCATTGTAAAAGCTTGCTTCCCATACATTTTCATTGCTGCTTTGATTTATTTTATTAGCAAACTTCTTTTGTGTGATGACAGGCTTCATTACAGTGTCTATAAAAGACAATTGCCTGCTCTTATCTCCTAAACCGAAGAGGAAAGAGACGACTGGTGATGTGCATCAGGGAGACACAATGGGACCCGGGGAGAGCGGCAGAAGGGCCGGTCCCCGGGAGGAAAACAGGAGCGGGCAGGGGCTGGGGAGAAACCGCGCTCTGTCACGGGATGGCTGCCTGGAAACCAGCTGCCTTCTGCTGCTGGCATCTTGGCAGAGGACCCCAATGGAGCTCAAACCCTATTCAGTTGCACTTTGGGGAAATAATATGAGGATAATCACCACTGATTATTCTGCATTATCTGTGTGCTTAGGAGGAGCACAGGGTAGCTGCTCTGAGTTCGGTTCCCAAGTTAGACAGGTTGAGGTAGAATCCAAACTCCTAGGCAAGTTTTGTGAGTCGGAAAGCCTCAGTTTCCTCATCCGCAAAACAGGATGAGTTATTGTGCCTACCTCCTAGGGTTGCAATGAGGCGAAAAGAGGTCTCTCCGAAGCACAGAGAACTGGGAGCAATCTGTGCTGTGTTACCTGAACACGGGGCAGCTGTCACTACAGGTGGCGGGCACTGCACGTGTGCCACACGATCCCCCTCAGAAAAGAAGGAACAGCATTAGACCTATGTCTTCCAGAGGCTCATATTACTTTGACTACATGACTTTGTTTTGAACAACAAGATACTGTTTCAGGAAGTCTTAACAGCAGAAAGGACCCCACTCGTGCTAGTTTGGGCTGTTTATAATGGTCACTGGATGCTGTTGGTAAAAAG